ATGTGAGAAAATATCTGTTTTCATAGTTGGCCATTTTTTCGTACAAAAACCAAACGGTCGGTTTTTATAGTATAATCAATAGTGATTACAGTGGTTTTTCTGGTCGATATTTTCGAAAGAAAGCTCCAAGAAACAGTGGGCAGTAGTGTTAAGACCCGGCCAACTAAACTTCGTACATCCAAGGAGATTTCGTCTGGTTTCCCATGGTCAATTAATTGTTAATCTAATTGTTGAACAATGGATAATGGCGGAAGCAGTTAAACGGAATGAAGGGACTCCAGGTGCTACCGCTAATTTCTGAAACCAAGTTAATCTTCGAAGGAAGACTTGCTGCCAACTTCTCGTCCTGGGGGAGCCGGCTGAGGCCTTTTATCTCTAAAGAACATTCAGGTTTACCTCCATGAGATTTTAGAAGAAACTAGAATAGCAATTTGAATTGAATTTAAAAATCTCGAGTCGAAGCTTTAATAAGATAACCTGATCTAAGTAAAAATATAAAACCAATCCGTATAATCTATTGGATTTGAGTACTTATATTTTTTTAATTAAATATATAAATAAACTACATCCTTAAGTGCCTGGATAGTATTGTTTACCAGCTTTATTAATTCCTTTTACGATACCCAATTAAAACGATTATATAACAGTTATGGCCAGAAAAATACTAAATTTGTATCACTCTCAAATACAGTAACTTGGGTGTTCTACTGTACCATATCTTTGAAATTGTTTCTTTTCATGAAAGAATTTGGTAACTGTTCGACCAATCAACTTGTCTTTTTCTTCCAATGTCTTTCAGCTTTTGATATATCCTCGCTTCTGATATTGCTAGCTTCCAATGTTCTTCTAAATACTTTTTTATTAGCTTACATTTTGTACTTGCCCATGTGCTCGCTATTTCTTCCTTTTTATACGCCAGTGAACGTTTTTATTCTTCAACGTTTCCTAGTTTTCCTTCTATCTTGTATAGTTTGCCTCCAATTTCACTCACTTCTTATTGCAATAGTACTATCCAAGTGGAAAATTTTTATTTTTATTTTGGTGGGCGGTATGTTTAAATTCTTACGAACACTGTATCAAGGTATGGTCTTGAAGAAGAAAGAACAATCAGTTGCTTCTGCTAAGCTTTCGACATATTTTGAGGTCACCATCAGAGCAAAACAACATATGTCTACAGGGTGACGTATTTAAGTAATTTTAAAGTTGTGTTTTTTCGAGCGATATCAAATTTCCTTGAAAACCGACTCAGTCCCAACATAGGCAAGGACTGTGACCTAAATGTGTACTGTACCTTTTTTACCCAGTACTGTTGCTGTTCTATTCCTCTTTTGATCCCTTTAGTTGGTGCTCCCTAACCATCCTTAACCGTGCCTAAACGAGAGCCGAGCTAATTAGAGATAGTCTAAATTTTTAGTTTTATACATACACAATTCCTGCAATCTTATCTTTTTGACATCCTGTCCCACATCCATTATATTTCGAGGTTATATGAATTTTGTCTACACTTTTTATTTCAATATTCAATAGTAAATTTTTATTTTTTAGGGTCGGCGCACCAGCGATACTTAGCGGTCACCAACGGAAAATTCTTGAAATTTCAAATTTTTGACGTCATGTCTCAACGAGTAGTGTACGAGTTTGTACTTTGTCGAGCCTATAGATTTTGTTAATTCACTCTTCACTATTTTACTTATTTATTTATTACCATTATTTTTTTGGTCTGGAGCCCAACCCTACGAAAATTTTCCTGAAATTTCTGCTTTTTGACGTTCTGTTTCATGACAATTGCATTACGATTTTATATATCATTGGTCCTATGTAGATTATATTAATTTACAATTAACAATTTTATTTTTATTTTATTGAGAGGGAGAGGCAACCAGCGGAATTAAACGGACCCCTAGTTAACAATGCGTAAATCTTACGTTCTTGATGTTTTGTCTAACAACATTTAATTAACACAAACAATTAATTAATCACTATTCACTTTTTTCCTTTTGTTTATTTATTTATTTGGCCTGTGAGCGCAACCAGTAGAAATTAACCTCGATTGAAATTTCCTGACATCTCTGCTTCTTGAGTCTTATCTCATAAAAATTTCAGTATGAATTGTATGAAATTCGTAGTTTGTTTGTATATTTTTGTTTTGTTGGAGAGGTGCAATCAGAGATAATTAGACCAGAACTGAAAATACCTGACCACTTAACATTGCGAAGTTGGTTAATGAAAACCATTTGTCAAGCTTGTGATATTTTATTCGCAAAAAGCGAATGTAAGCGGACCCCAGCTGAGAATTCCTGAAATATTAGCATTCTGTTCTGTCTCTCTCCTTCAGATGTTTTTACAAGTAAACATCCCAGGCATTAAGAAGATCCGGAGAGAAAATTCCTACAATCATAACTTTGAGATGACCATCTACCAAATACAATGATGAAATATGTTAATATTCATTAACTAATGATTTTTTTTTTATATCCCGCTCGTGACACTGACTTTTTTATATCAACTAAAAACCTTAATTAATTGAATGATATTAATTGGTCAAGCAGACCACGAAATTAGTGAATTTAATGATTTGAAATGAAGTATACTTCACTAAAGCTCTCCGTGGCCATTTCATTTATCGTCGAGAATCCAATCCGATTACACGACATTTGAAAAATGGCAAAAAGGAAGGAAAATTCAAAAGGTGGGGTTGAGATGCCAAGTTAGTGCCCGAGGGGATCGAAGTCACGATAGCTCAAATGGTAGAGTATAGGTGTATCAAGCCGACGGTCGTGGGTTCGAATACCGCCCGAGACACTGACTTTTTTATCTCAATTAAAAACCTTAATTAATTCAATGATATTAATTGGTCAAGCGGACCACGAAAAGTAGTGATTTTTTTAAACTGAAATCTTGTCCCCAAAATTAAATTAGCTGTTTTTTGGTTACTCATGATATAATTTTAAAACCATCAATCCATCAATTTCCATTAAATCCATGAATTTTTAAGCTAGTGCATATTTTTCTTGTAAAACCTAATTGGCAACGTTAATAGTTGAATATAGTAATAATAATAATAAATAATGGGAAAAGTTGAATGATAAAAAGTTTTTTTAGTTCTTACGAATAATCAATCCGCGTAATTATTCAATGAAAAGAGTGCATTAAAGAATCCGAAATAAAATTCAATTAAAAACTTAACATAATCAAAGGGCCCCACTTTTAACTGCAAATTTAATCTAAACTTTTCTCACTTTCAAAGCTAACCAGTGTTCACCGGGATGAGGAGATAATTTTCTCCGAGGAGTGAGAGCAAAAAACGGGCGATTTTCATGAGCTTGAGGCTAAAACAGAGCTCGATTACCAAGTCAAATGTAGAGTAAAACAATTACCGCAGTCTGGGCTGTGAGACAGAAGGCCCGGGTAGATAGCCGCGGAGCGAGGGAGGAAAAAGTGGAAAATTATGGTCAAACCTTCGTACAGCTCCAGCGGCACAATTGCATTGTCACAAGAACGATCTCAAGTCCAAAATACTTGCAAGATCATTAAAAAACATGATTCAGTTGTACCTTGTTACCCCTAATAAAATAATATCCATGTGAGACTGAAAAACCACAAAAGATCAATTTTACAGCCGGCACGGCTTAAATAACATAGTTTAAAAAAATAGTGTTTTATGTAAGAAAACAGTTTCTTACTAAACAAAAATAAGATAATAAATTTTAAATCTGTTACTTAAACCTGCAAATGAAATACATTATTTGCAGATATCTGTGGTTGAGCCTATTTTCTGTTAGCTGATCTTTGTTTTAGCTGTCCCTGTTTTTTTATACACATAAATTAACTTTTATCTAACTTTTAATTGAATCTTGTTACTTAATTGCTAAAATTTTAATCCCTGGAAATAATAGTAAATATTGAATTTGAGATGGGACAAAAAGAATAGTTTTTAAATTCAACTTGTTGCTACAATCAATTAAACGTTGGTAATGGGTTATTTGACTCTTTATGAACGCCAATAATATTAAAAATTAATTATTCTTTCTATGACAGGTCTTGGTCGTGATAAAAAAGTCAGTGTTACGAGCGGGATTCGAACCCCTCGACCTTAGGCTAAATATGCCGCTACTCTACCACTTGAACTGTCGTGACTTCCATCCTCTCGGACATTGATAAGCTCGTGACACTGACTTTTTTATCTCGACCAAGACCTGACTTAGAAAGAATAATTAATTGAAAGAAGTAATTTGATCAATAGACCACTAAAACGTAAATGGAATATTAAAAATTAAAAATGGTTGAATATTGATTTCGGAAACAGCAAGAAATATAGGACGGAGTAGGAATGTCTTAGATCCGACAGTGAACCAGCAGGTGGTGCCGTTCTTGACGGAGGGGTTTTTTGATAATTAGATTGGTTTGGAAATTGTGCTTGATATCGTCCCTTGGGCCATGGAGTATCCGATGATCCTGCATTTGGCTTTTAAAATTTCTCCATTTTAGTTTTAACCCTATCGGAGGTTGCTCTTTGATCATATTAATGTCTTCTTGGCCTCATTATCATACGATTGAAATGGTTATGTGCGTTTTTGTGCCACAATGCATACCATACTTCAGTTTTATACTGTTACTGGCACTTTTGGGTAAGTTTAATTTAGTTTGAAAAATGGCAAAATGTAGGGAAAATTCGAAAGGTTGTAGGTTGAGGTGGGGAGTTGGTATCCGAGTGGATCGAAGTCACGATAGCTCAAGTGGTAGAGCGGCGACGTATTTAACGGAAGGTCGTGGGTTCGAATCCCGCTTTTGGCACCAACTTTTTCATTTCAACCACAAACCTTACATAAAAATATTAATTAATTGAAAGAAGAAATTTGATCAATAGACCAATAAGTATATGGATTTGTTTTAAATGGTGACCGTTTAGAGAGTATCCTGCTTAATTTTTAGCAGCTTGCACACTTATTTTAATGAAACACTTGTAAAAGAAATCATTTTGTTTATTTGAAATACAGCAATTTAAGGTCTACGATATGATTAACATTTTTCAAAGCAAATCAAATCAATAATTCAGTCATATAAGGTAAAATAATTTCATTTTTAATAATATTATCCTCTTAATTTATTAAAATATAAACAATGCCGGTGTAATGAAAAAAAGGTTTTTGCACAACGGGAATTCTAATTTTCTCTATCTACCCATAAAATATGCAGCCACGTTGTGAAAAAGATTAAACTTACGTTCGATCGGAATACATCATGCCTTAATGTTTTATTCAAGGCGACTTCGGAAGCAGTTTAAATTTAGTCAGGATATGTATTTTTTGAAATATATAAATATTGGCAGAAGAAGAAGAAACATCAACGAGGAAATCTGCCATTTTACTAATATATATTCTTATTATTGCAGCTAGGTTTATATCGCAACAGCTAATTGAAAGCATGACAAGTTTATTTTATTTAAAGCATCAGTTACTTAATGAAAGATGTTCAATTTATTTCGGCTGTAAACTTTTCACCCACAATTTTATAAACCGAGTAAATTGCAGATAAAAATTCTTCTTTAGACAGCAACCTTCGACCTTCAAGAATTTTCGCCTGTTCAGTTGTCTGTTGAACGAAATCTCCTCCTTCCGTAAAACATTTGGAAAATGTTTCTTCATCGCATTCGAATGTTTTTAGATTGAACCTATAAAAAACAACAAATTATCGTTAAAATCGTTTTTAAAATTGACAGTAAATTAATCACATTGTGTTTTGCGAGCACGACATCCTCGTTAGAATGCCGTTTCGACAGACAATGTAACCGACACCGCAGGACGACGAGGGTCCGCAGCAGTCCTCGTTGCACGAAGAAGAAGTACAGAACTTCGGGCAAGGTGCAGGTTCGTCCTGATAGCACTGGTATCCTTCAACGCAAGCGAGACCGTATTCGTCAAAGTTATATCCTTCAGGACACTGACCAAGACTGAACCTAGTACGAACAATTTTAAAATTATACTCCATGAAGGGATGATGTTTGTTGATCGTTCTGCAGATAATCTATGTAGGGTTCGAATCTTCGTAGAGGTCAATAGACAGGTGTAAAAAAAACACTAATTGCCGGGTTCACCGAGCTTTCGGCACCTAGTGGTATACCATAGTACCATAATCAGGACCTATTTTATTACAAATTAAAATAAATACACAGTAACAAACAATTAACAATTAATATGATAAAATGCTGTACGTAATTTCCCAAGGAAGAACATCTAGGTCATTTCAGCCCCCAACTATGCCTATATTCTATTTACCCTTTCAAACACTACATTCATACAAATAAATACATTCATACACATAAATACATCCATACAGTACTCTCATTCCGTTTGGTCGGTGGAGTACTTGATATTCCTCCACCGACCTATACTCAAACTAATCTACATGGATGGAGTACTTTTATAAATATTCCGCCATCGACCCCGAACACACACTCTTACGCTCTCATCGTTCGAGGGGTGATGATGACGTTATATTTTACCCTCACCCCTCGCCATACACGCTAATAATTACATGCACTCAGACAAAACATATAGACACATAACACATAAGACATACTATATACAATAAAAAAACCCAATTTCTCCTAAAAAGCGGAACAGGTGACCCTAAAACTCGCTGCAGTGCTCGAGAACTCTTCTTATGTCCGGCGGCATGCCTACACGCTCTCTGTATGGAGCCAAGACATGATACGCCTCTATTATGTGGGACACATCGAGCAACCTATCTCTGCATAAAGGGCACCTGCTCGGGCTTTGGCCCAAAAGCAGGTGCCCATGTGTCAACGTATATGGCCTATTCTTAATCGCGTAAGGACGATGCCTTGTTTCCGGCTCAGACTCTCTGAGGGCCATCTACCGGTCGTGCTCTTGACTCGCAAGAGCCTCTCCGACAATTNTATACACTATTATAGAATAGAATTACCAGTAAGATATAACTCAAAACATCATTTATAGAAGGCCAAATTAAAGTCAAATAAATTTGAATTAATTATCAAATTATTTGTAAATTCATTAAAAAGATAAAAAATAATAGTGAAAATAAGGGTTGTTAATTTAATTTTAAATTAAAGACCATTCTGAAATGTGTGAAGTGCATAAGCTTTGTAATTTAAACACAGTTCATTTCATGGCTGTGTGCCCTATTTTGCATCTATGTAGGGTTAAATATTTGAATAACAGGGCTTTCACGAACTCACGAACTCTGTAATTTGTTTAAAACTAAGAGTAGAACAAATTTAGTTCATGAATTAAAATACGTCTTTTTATAGAAAAACAGTTGATCCAAATTTTATAGCTTATAAATAAAGTATCATCTATATAGTTTTATTTTTTTATTGTGTTTACGTTATACTAATTGGTAATTTATATTTTTGCTTACAGCTATGATGTCACAATAGCACTACTACATAAAAACTACGTTAAGAACAAAATAATCTTTTATGCAACTACACTTTCATTTTATCCTAAATTAATCCTCTTATTTAGTTTTTTTTATTAAGTTGATAAAAAGAAATAATTAATAATAAAACAGCTGGGCGTAGAAAACAAAAATGAAGATATAATTTGTGACAGCTTTTTTTAAAATGAAAACTGAAAAAATAAATTATTATTTGGAGGTCGTGAGATGCGGTCTAGTGTGACGTAAGTTTTAGAAAAACATTTTCTTTATTGTACGAACGTTTCGATCTTTATTGAGATCATCTTCAGTGCTCAAAGTGTTCGTTTTCTGCGTAGATGTATCATTCTGGGATTTATAAACATTGTTTAAATTTTAGAAATATATATAGTGCATGAAAAAATGAATTTATACAATGCAAGAAAATTTTAGATTAAACAAAAAAAATTATACAACGCTAGAAAATTTTAGATTACAAAAAGGCGCTGAAGATGATCTCAATAAAGGTCGAACGTTGGCACGATAAATGAAACGTTTTTCTAAAACCTATTTCACACCAGAACGCATGTCACGACCTCCAAATAATCTTTAAATAACAGTCACTAAATTCCACACATGAAAAAATAAACTTTATTTTTGAACTGAAATCTTTCTAGAATAACCAACTATGAACACAACAACCGATGTATACAATATTCATGGATGTATAAATATACAAAAAAATTTAATAACAAAAATATAAGCCTACAAAATAAAACAACACTGCAATACTCTATAAAAATAATAGAAATGATAAATGATGGAGTGAGTGTGGTGTTCAATCCTTTTTAAAAAAAGATAGTTCCTACTCACAGTAAGTTGTTTTGCAACGATCCGGATTTCGAGCCTTTTAGATCATCATCAGGTTGTAGAAGTCCTTCAACCTGATGATGAGCTAAAAGGCTCGAAATCCGGTCGTTGCAAAACAACTTACAGTAAGTAGGAACTATCTTTTTTTAAAAACTACAAAACTAATGTAAATATATGTTTTTAATTCGACCAAAGACTATAGTTTAGTTAGTTTTCAAACACAATAAGCTATGACTTTTCTACATTAAAGTTTAGCCCATTTTCAGCGGTCCAGAAAAAGATTTAAGTCTTTCTGAATTCTTACAGTTGCCGCTTACATAAAAGAAAAGGTAAACTTGGGAGTTATCTGCGTAAAGGTGGTAGGAACAATATTCTATCAATTTAGATAGGTCATTAATGTAACAACAAAAAACGGAAAAGCGGATTTGCTTGAATCTTAAGGCACTCCAGAAGACTAAGGAGAGGATGGACGATTATCTATTATGTACTTAGGAAAGTATGCAAAGCAAGAGGGGAACTAGCGGTACGAAAGACTATTTGACGACATCTAGGATCATATATTACAAAAATACTTGGTTCCAATCTGCATCAACATGGATGAAAAGTTATCTAGGCACACAGGTGAATTACCGGCATTAACTTAAGCTTCTGTGTACTTCATCGTATTATATCATTCCAAATACCAATGATACGTTGATTAATTAGCTTAAGTACATTTATGATTTCTGATGATAATTTACAGCCCTACATTTTCTACCATGCCATAGCATTTTGCTGTACGGTACCATTTGGCAGTCATAATTTGTTATCTATCCCCATCATCGTATTAATACTTGTCTAAGCCGTATTAATTCTCAGTATTTGATAGTAAGACAGCAGTGATAATATGTAACAGACACACAAACATCAAACTTACTAAAGCAATGATGTTATCAACATTAAATATGCGACATCAGTGAAGATAAATGCGCTGTTACATCATCACTATAGAACCAGCCTATGATACTAATCTAAACGGCTGTACTTGATACTGCAGATATAGACACACAAGCATCAAACTGATAGTATATCCATATCAACATTAAATGTGCGACATCAGTGAAAATAAATTTGCTTTGTACGTTAACATAGTTGAAATAACCTCAGAAAAGATGAAAATTTAAACAGCTTTGCTTAGTAAAGCAGTGATGATACGTTACAGAAACCAAAAATCAAATTTTCATCGGCAGTCATCAGTTCATCTACCAATATATCAGCATTTGTTTGTTCGGCATCAATAACGGCAATTCAGGTGAGTACATCATCATAAACTAACTAACATAAGAAATGATAATAATCTAAAAAAGGGGGGTCGGCGGTGGCTGCAACGACACGGCGCTTATCACTATAAGGTAAAGGTTCCAGGTTCGAATTCAGCGGCCCTTCATTCGAACCCGACATACTTACAAATGAGCTTTTTTTTTTCAAAAACACCGGCACTCCGAGGGTTGATATGATCTCTGCTGTTGCGAACCCCCATGAAAAAACCAGACAGCTCTGATGCATCTTACCTGAGTCTTATACGACATGGGTGAAATTAATTGAACAGTGTACATCGTTTTTGTACTAACTTCAGCAATGATAATAATCTAAACAGCTCTAACTGATAACAGTAATGATACAAAAACACAAAGATCAAACATGAAACCGCCGTGATTATATCACCATATCTTATTTTATGGGGCATCAGTAAAGATATGTGAGGTTTGTATATAATCGTATTTTAACTAACTACATCACTTATGATAATCTATATCTAGTGCTGATAAGTTAGAAATATACAAGTTCTAGTTTAACGCAGTAGTAAAACCGCTGACGACAGTTGTTTGTTATTTATACCGTATTTAATCTGGTAAAAGAGATAATGCAACGATATTCATCGTATGGCGACAGTTTTAAAGATATGTTGCGTGTGACATGCTTTTAAGTAACGTCTGCCAAAACAGGCGTCCAAGTTCAAACATATCAACGGATACATTACAGGAATATGAGAATTGGAGGATTGTTCCCGTCGAAATTGAGGCCGAACTCAATCGTAAATATTCCAGATTAACGGTCGTTCCCAGTTTTCAAGAGTTGGTGGAGTGAGCCATTCGTTAGTGGGAACCGCTCGGCATTCGGAGTTCGTTGGTAAACGAGACCTCAATTGCATCTAAAGCAACACGAACTAGCCATGCCAAATGGATTTGGACGGAATCCATCGTTTTTCCTCCTCCTGCCATCCTCTCTCTCTTCCCCTGCAGCCTGAAGGAATATTACTTTTCCTAACGCGGTGTACTGTGTTTTCTCACCAAACCAAATTTACTACAAAAACCATCCTTAAAGACGGCTTATGCGTGTGTAAGTAAAACATATTTATTCAATAGCAGTGAAATAGAACAATATTCTATAATTTTTTATTAATTTCCCAAAATAAGAACACAACGGATTGAAAACACCAAAATTTTAAAGTTTAAAATAATTTAAATATTATATATGCTATTAGGTACAAGTACCTGTCTCCATTGCAAGAGTGGTAATATTTGCAATTGTACGGATGAGGCGAGCAACAGGTTTCCGTGCATGAACTGTTCGTACACCTCTTCGGACAATCCGTGTAGCACCTGTGACCTCTCTTGCACCTGTAAACGCACGTTGAAAAACTATGCGAAATTGATTGATGCATGTTGGAAAACATTCACCTCAATGATGACTCATGGAAACCGTGACCAGGCGGGCACGTCGCCGATAGAAGACGGCCGTGCGAACAAGTGAAGAAGTGGGAACAGGCGATCGTGTTCGGGGAACAACACCCGTCCCGGCTCATCGAACAGTCAGGAACGTTATCCGGGCCAAGGGTACAATTTGCTATGCAAAGAGTCGAACTTACTTGCATAAACGTAGCAGCGACACCTGGAATCAAAGCCTTACAGACTACAAATACCAAATATTTATGGTGATCCCTTCCATTTTCTGTTATTATTATTTGTTTTTTTATTTATTCATTTTATTTAGGATTATATTATATTGCACTTTTCATAAAAGATAAAGGTAGGGACAGAGTAAGTAAAAATAAATATAAAAGCTGTATACTGAATGAGGAGAGAGAGAGAAAAAGAGAGAGAGAGAGAGAGAGAGAGAGAGAGAGAGAGAGAGAGAGAGAGAGAGAGAGATGAAAGCACGAAATAAAAGAAAGTATAATTTAACGTTGTTAGGATGTTCTTTGATAAAGTTTTTTTAAAATGTTGCAACTGTTTTCCCTGTATTAATTTTTTACACAATGTTCAATTAATTTGTTTATGTTTATTGTGTAATAATAATAATAATAATAAGTTTATTGCACACATGAATAAAATAAAAATTACAGATAATTCAGACAAGAAAATAAACTTAATTCGGCAAGGTAACCGTCTGCCGGATGTTTATTGTGTAAATACATACGTAAAACATCATTACTATTTTATTTTACCTTAATTTCTAAAATGTTTAATTATTTTATTTAAAACTTGTTTTAAACACTTTTAATATTGTAACTGTTGATAGAGAGTGGAATAATAAAATGTGGATAGACAATGAAACGATGGTTTTAATTATTTTATGTTACATCTTCTCTTTTTATCTTACTTATCATTGTACATTTTTGTTATTGAGTACTCCATGAAAGGATTTGAAGTAGAACTGATATATAACGTTTCATTTAGACAATTTTTGTCTGAGAGTTTTTTGCATTTTTTTAAATTTCAAATTCGTCTACCTGATTTAAAGTTTTACATTTTCGGAAAAAATGCAGAAGTTGGGTGTTTAAAGAATGTAGTGTGGGATAACGACATAGATAGTTGTGTACACACATGTACAATAGAAGAATAAAGCGAACAAAAAAATAAAAATAAATTAGAAACTAGGGACAGTTAGAGAGAGAAAGAGAGGGAGAGAAAAAGAAAGAGAGAGAGAGATAGAAAAAGAGAGAGAGAGTGAAATAATAAAAGGCAGTTTGAATGATGATATTATATAATATACTTAAACATATTTTATTTGCATTTGCTTTTTCGTGTGTAACTGTTTCACCACGTGGCTACTTTTTCGTTTTCGTATACGTGTGTGTGTGTGTGTGTGTGTGTGTGTGTGTGTGTGTGTGTGAGCACACACACGCGTGTCTGCGCCTAAAATCAAAATTCTACATCCACAATTCGAGTTCGGCATTAATTATCCGAAATGATAATTAATTGCCTGCTCATAATCTTGTGAGGTATCAAAGGTTATATTAACCGGAAGTGGAAATGTTTATTTTAGGACACTTATTTTATCTTGAGAGGCAAATTTTAACAAGAAAATACAACTAAAACTGATACTTAATACGTCGTTTTACATTTTTTGATAACATTTTTGCATTAATTTCAAATAAAAGAAAAAATCAAAAAGAATCAATACTTCAATTGTAAATGTATATGAAATAATAAATAAATTGAAAAATGTATAAAAAAATCTTAGAACTTGTCCTGATTGTCCTGCAGAATTTGATAAATTTAATTATACATTTATTTTATCTTGAGAGGCAAATTTTAACGAGAAAATACAAAACTGACACTTTTTCACTCCGTTTTACATTTTTTATACATTTTTGCTTTTATTCTAAATAAAAGAAAAGATCCAAAAGAATCAATATTTAAATTGTAAATTTGTATGAAATAATAAATAAATTGAAAAATGTATCAAAAAATCTTACTTGTCTTGATTGTCCTGCAGAATTTGATAAATTTAATTATACACTTATTTTATCTTGAGAGGCCAATTTTCACAAGAAAATACAACTAAAACTGATACCTTTTCATGCCGGTTTATATTTTTTGAGAATATTTTTGCTTTTATTCTAAATAAAAGAAAAGATCAAAAAGAATCAATATTTCAATTGTAAATCTGTATGAAATAACAAATAAATTGAAAAATGTATCAAAATGTTCTACTACTTGTCCTAATTGTCCTGCAGAATTTGATAAATTTAATTAGAAACAAATGATAATAGATTTTTTATTTTTTTATAGCATTGATTATTTCGTTTAGCCGTTGGTAACTATCTTTCAAATGTATTTCATCCAACACCAATTCGAATTGGCCGATGCCCGGACCAATAATCAATTAAATTGGTTTCAATTATTATTATGGCAATCATAATAATTAACTAATTAATCAGTAAATTACATTAACGCTGACTACCTTATTGCCTTAGGAAGTGGGTGGTGTAATTAGTAAATTATGTCATATCAATATTATACACAACCAAACAATTAGGTCATAAGTGACTTAAAAGATGTAAAACCGTTTATTATTAATCGTCCTGCACTTTGCATGCATAATAAGTTACTTTAATATTAATTATTAAATTAAAGTACTACATAATTAGTTTATTTGGTTTTAATTGAATAAAGGATTTTGAACAGTATTTTTCTGTGTTTTTGGAATGAAAGCTGGAACACTCTGAATATTAGGACTTACTCATTGTTGATTTTTTTATAACGGAACTCTTCCAGTCGTGACCGCCAGTTAACAAATTCAGGTCTGGAGTGTTGAAGCAACCCTTGTAATCGCCGGCGAACTTAACCATTTTTTATTATTTCCTTTTCCTAATTGGTTTCGCCTTGTTACGCCTACACTTTATTTTTCCGGTAGCCACTGGCTTTTCATTAAAAAGGGGGAAAAAACATTAAAAGAAAAAAATTGCCATTTTGTGTTCTTTCTATTTTGGCCCGATTGGCCGATTATTTTCCACCGTTCAATAGCGTACACTACACAAAAAAATTGATTTTTTTTATTTTTCCATTGTTCTCTCATAACAAAACGAGTATATAAAATATTAATGGTCACATATTTTACGATCTGACTACTTATTTCCACTTATAACTTCTTTCATAGGTTATTCAAATTAGGAAACATTCAAAATCGGTAATAAAAATAAAATTCCATCCATGAAATGAAACAATTGGTTTAATTTCATCAATATTTCTAGGGCTATTTAATTTTGATTACTCTTAAAATGCCAATGCTGCTAATGCTGATTAAAGAAAATCATATAAATAATAATAATAATTTTTGCTGAAATGCAGACAACACAATGCCCTGAAGATGATCTCAATAAAGATCGAAACGTTGGCACGATAAAGAAAATGTTTTTCTGAAACCTACATCACACCACACCGCATCTCACTATTTCTGAATAATTACAAATAATAGGTTTAAAAAACAGTAAAAATTGTATAATGGATCAAATAATTCTTTTTTATGGACATTTCCAAATTTTAAAGTTTGTTCATAAATATATTTATCTAAAAGGGGAAAAAACTCCATCTATGAAAGGAAACAATTGATTTAATTTCATAAATATTTCTAGGGCTATTTAATTTTGATTACTCTTAAAATGCCAATATTGTTAACACTGATTAAAGAAAATCATAACAAATAAAAGGTATAAAAAACAGAAAAAATTGTATAATCGATTAAATAATTCCTTTTTATCGACATTTCCAAATGTTAAAGTTTGTTAATAAATATATTTATCTAAAAGGAGAAAAATTCCATCTATGAAATGAAACAATTGGTTTAATTTTATAAATATTTCTAGGGCTATTTAATTTTGATTACTCTTAAAATGCCAATATTGCTAACACTGATTAAAGAAAATCATAACAAATAAAAGGTATAAAAAAACCAGTAAAAATTGTATAATTGATTAAATAATTCCTTTTTATCGACAATTCCAAATTTAAACTTCGTTAATATTTACCTTATTGTTAATTATTCACACAAAGACAGTAAAAAACAGACACTCGTATTTTTTCATGAAATTCATACGTTTTAAGAAATAAATATTTAATTATGATGGTTTTTTAGAAAAGTCACGACAACACAGGAAATCATTTAACGATATATTATAATTTAACTAACTATTTATTACCAAGTTTTGTTCGTAATATTGTGTATTATTGTTCAACTTCTGGCCTCGCGGTTACTTTAGCTCTAAATCTCCTAACCATCGAGTAAATAACCGATTGGATTTCGTTTTGTGAAATCCCCATCTTCAACAAGAGCGGTTTGAAGCCGTTCAACCCTTGTTGGAGGCGACGAACGATGTCTAAACCCTCTCTTTATCATGTAACACTATGATAAATCAAGTGATCATCAGTCACTATCAAGTGTTCTATAGGATTCGTGTCAGCAGGCCAATTCATTGTGGTATCCCTACATCCGCCATGGTAGACAACTCGAATTACACGGGTCGAGAATTATCATGCATTAACAGGAAGTCGCCCCCAATAAATGGAACGAAATGGGACCACAGCTTACAGAGCTTCCTCAAACCTTAGTGCGGTCAAACTTCCATTCCTTATGATAACCAGGGTTGAGTCCACCATAGATATGGTACAAAATACTATTGGTACAAATGGTACTCTACAAAATAGTGTTTGAGTAAATAATTCAAATAATTCTAAATAATGGATAGTTCACTTTTTACACCTTTTTGAATCTTTCTCGCTTTTCGCGATGGCATCCTATGCTGGAAAAATTGGAATGAGTTTAAGGCATTTTTACACTGGTGCTTTATGCCGTCGATATTGCCTTTGATTGCGTATTCTGCTCGGGTTCGGGTTAAGCCTTTTAACAGAATATTCAACGGATTTCAGGTTAACACACGCAATTTTCTGTACTGTTACTTTCCACCTGGCGGTCGGCGAATTTTTTTCAAAGTTTCTTCCTTCCTTTCATCCTGCCATTATTTATATACCTATTTTTTTAATATTCTACAAACTAAAATCATCAACGGGTTTTTAAATAGTTTTATTTAATAATAATAGTAAATAAAAGTAAAAACCGTTTCGGTAAAATGCATATCTGATTTTCCTTGAAAGGCTTGAATTACAACTTGGAAAGA